ATTCCAGATGTGGCCTCACCAGGGCTGAGTATGATAATCTAGTCCAACTGCCCACTTCAGGGCTGACCAAAAGTTAAGGTCTGTTGTTAAGGGCATTGTCCAATTGACTCTTAAAACACTGACAGGCTTGGGGCACCCACCACCTCTCTAGGAAGCCTTTTCCACAGTTTGACCACACTATTAGTGAAAAAATGCTTCCTAACATCCAGTCTAAACCTCCCCTAGTACATCTCTGAATCACTCCCATGTGTCCAGTCACTGGATAGCAGGGAGAAGAGCTCAGCACCTCCTTCACTGCTTCCTCTTCTCAGGAAGCTGCAAAGAGCAATGAGGTTGCCCTTCAGATTCCTTTTCTCATAACTAGGCAAGTCCCAAGTCCTCAGATGCTCCTCGTAGGACATTCCTTCCAGCCCTTACACCAGCTTTGTTGCTCACCCCTGGACACCTTCATGGACCTTCACATCCTTCTTAGAATTGTTGTGCCCAGACCTGCACACAGTGCTCAAGGTGAGGCCGCGCCAACGCTGAACACAGCGGGACAGTCACCTCTTTGACGGGCTGGTCATGCTGGGTTTGATGCACCCCAGGATGGGGTTTGCCCCCTTGGCTGCCAGGGCACCCACACTGACTCCTGCTGAGTTGCTGCCGACCAGCACCCCCAGATCCCTTACTGCAGGGCTGAAATCCAGCCATTCCTCTCTCCATTTGTATTTGTGTTTCATATTACTCTATCCTAGGTGCGGAATCCAGCATTCTGACTTGTTTAATTTCATCCCATTAATCATAGTCCAGAGCTCCAATTTACCTAGATCCCTCTAGACTTCTGCATGGACGGAACATTTCACTTTAGTGTCAGTACTTTTTGAGACAAGCAGATTTGGTCTCTGTTTACATGAGATAATAAAGTAAGGTGTTTGATACACTGACTGAGAATAAGGAATTTTTAATTTGCTACGGTAATATCTGGATGACTAACACTGTTTTCAGTAGATGTTTTTTAACAGCAGATGTTGATGAGATAAATGGATATTATTAGCATTACAGTTACAAAATACTTAATGCCTGTGGTTTTCAGAGACTTATCCATGACTCTTCTTTCATCACTTTCTAACAAAAGCTATTAAAATCGAGAAAATTTTGCAATGAATTTTTTTCTTGATCTCTACCACTCACCATAACTGTAATCAATAATGTAATCAAATGTCTAAAGCAATTATGCTACATCTTTTGCAATCATCCGTATCCCACGCTGGACAGAATGAGCTTTCAATTAACAATGTTGCAAAACTCATGCTCTGTTAAGACTTTAGAAAAAAACAGATTAGACTTTAGAGTTTAGACTGGACATTAAGAATTTTTTTTTTACAGAAAGAGTAGTCAGACATTGGAATAGGCTGCCCACGGAGGCAGCTGAGTCATGATCCCTGGAAGTGTTTAAAGGTTGTTTAGATGTGGTGGCGGGGGATATGGTGAGCTTTGCAGCGCAGGGTTTGTGGTTGGACTTGATGATCCCAGGGGTCTTCTCCAACCCACATGATTCTACAATTCTACACTTCTATGATTCTATGAAAAATTATATATTTTTGCCTTGATCTGAGAAAAAATTACAGTTGTCACACAGAAGGATGTAAGTCAGAATAAAACAGCTTTGGTTCCACAACAGTCAAAATTCAGGGCTACTTCTTAAATGGCACAGACGTTTAGGGCATGATTCAGGTGCCTAAAAGTATGCATCCAGTACCACTTTAAATGTATTAGCATATCCAAGATATTGATGTACTGCTGGCAAAAATGACACCAAAGCAGAAACTATGAACCTTTGGAATCCTTGAGCATTTAAAATGACCCTGGCAATTTTCAGGCAATCAAATCATACCTTACAGATATCTTCTATGGGTGTCACAAAAATCTAACTCTGAGTTGTTGAATAATAACTTACGTTTACAGGTTTTCCCATCATTACGAAGCCTGTATCCTTCAAAACACTGACAAGAATAAGATCTCTCGCCATTTACACACAATTGTTCGCAGCCATGATCACTCAGAGCACAATAGTCAACTCCTGCAGGAGCAATGTAAGTTATTAAAAAAAATAACAAGTAATGAAACAATGTTTTTTCATGTTTAGTATATGCATGGCATATAAGCAAGTTAATATAAATATATTGAACTGCTTAAACAATAATCCAGTTCTTTACCTGATATTATACATACAGGTTCAATAAAATGTAAGAGGGTATTGTGGTGTACTTTCCATTGGCTGTTTTAAGCAGAGTTGAGAAATCATACTTTCCAGTAACATAGCTGAGAGTCCACGTCTCAGTACTTACCAATTGAATTTAGAAAACCCAGACCAAAACACTTTAGCAATTATTTTATATAAGGTGGTGGCAAAGACATAAAAGCTACCTTGTGAGCCTTCTTTAAATACAGTCTCTAAGAGGCCCGATGTGAAGGTGGCAGACCCCAGAACTCACTTGTGCACCTGCCCCAGCTGCCAGGACAGCAAGCAGAAAACTTCTCAGGGACCTCAGTGGGCTTTGGCCTAGACTATTTAAGCTTTTGCAAAGAATTGCAAATGACAAGTACTGTCAAGTATGGTCCATTTTTCATCTCAAATTTCATAAGTGTTTCTTCTCTGTAATACAAAAACATAGGACCCCTGGGACCCTGCAGGCAGCAACTGCTACTGTCCATTGGCTACACACACAGTGTCACTCATTTTTTTTGTACTTACTTGCCAGAGCAGAAATCTGTTTACCATTCAGGTGTTCCCACAGCTGTCTTAAGGTACTTGTGCCTGTGTATATGACACTAGAATTGTAATTCCCAGATGACTTCCCATAAGCAGTGGTATATGTTAGAGGCTAATCCCTTCCATTCAACTGCTCATTTGGGAAATCCCAAAGCACCAAAGCTTTTTTTGTGATAGCCTAAAAATGTCCATGAGGTTTCAACAACTCATCTGGAGCTCAGGAATAGGACAAATGTCTTTCCTAACATATATATGTGAGGAGAGGGATATGCTGGCAAGAAGAGGAGCTATTCAAAAGGGCTCCATTTAATTGCACAGAGGGATTCCAGAAGCCACAGTGCTGTTTTAATGCTACTGATAGGTGTCCAAGTACGGACTGGAGGAAAATAAGTCAAGAATGAAAAAATCTCACTTCTTTTTACTACAAAAGAAGAGGGATTTTCCATTTGCAAGCTGATAAAACTCCATAGTTTGGCTCTTTCTAAATTTTCAGTGATTCTTTTAGATAAATGTCTAAATAAATTGTTTCTAGTAGACCCTGTTGTTACATGTACACTAGTTCTGCTTTTGCACTACTGTCTGCCCCTTTCTAGAAAGCTGCAGTGGCAAAGAGAAACAAAGTCTATCAAGGTATTGGATGGGGTAATAAGGTCAGTATGGAGGCAATGACAAGGTTAAAGACAAATTATTGCCTTGGTTGATTTGCTTTACTTCTCCCTAGATCATTTTTGTCACTGAGCCCCGGCAGTTTGACTTCTGTTAAAACTGTGCTGCCTGAGTGCAAGCAAAGGAGCAACCTCCAGAGCTGCTCCAACATTCAACAAGCTTGAAAAATAACATATGTTCAAAATACGTACAAGAAGCGGCCAAACCCCTCTCATCAAAGAGGTTCTTTTACATTCTTCTTTTCCTGGACCTTTTCATACATTATTTTTTTGCAGTAAAGGAGGCTGCATGTTAAACTGCAGATTTTCAATGACCATTAGGCTTATAAAGGGTAGAGAGCTGTGAGGACAACTTTTGTTCACTTACTGAGTGCTCCCATGCAAAATGTAAAGCTCAGTGTGGGGCTCTCACTTCTTCTGCCCCACGTAAATTGATGCCTGGGGGACACTGCTGTCAAGATGACCTGTCGTCAGACATATTTGTCATGTGACTGAAAAACTGTCCTCAACACTCAGGGATGAGCAGATCTTCCAAAATTTTTATAAGTATATGAGGATTTACAGTTATGTTGACAAGTGTCCTTTCCTAAGTCCTTCTTCTGTCTGTGTTTGCTTTCAAATCACTAATTAAACCATTACTGAAATGCAGACTGTAAGAATAAATTGATGGTGCATCTTCTTGCCTGTACGAAAACAGAAAACTTTCACAGGTGAGCTGAGATCAAGGAGGTTCTCACAAGACTTACGTGTGCAGGTTTTTAGGTCTTCGTTGATGACAAATCCTTCAGAGCACTGACAGACGTAGGAGCTGTCCGTATTGAGGCACAGTTGCTCGCAGCCATGATTGCTCTCAGCACAGTGATCCACTCCTATTGATTTGTGTTAATAATTGAAGAAATCACATTGGAGTGTCAGATGCATACACTAATGACACTGTAGGTAGTACACGATGTCTTTGCAGAGTAAGCGAAAAATACCAGTATAGCTTTTTATTTATGCAGTAATTTCATCTATTTGAGTAATTCGAGTTAATTAGCAACACCTAAGTGAAACGAATTCCCCACTTGGCGAAGTGCAGATCTCCTTTTCCAAAAATCACAAAGGGAAACTAACGCAAAGTGAAGGGAGAACCTTGAAGTCTGACCTGGTCTTACCTGCAGAATGATGCCTGCTTTCTTTAAAAAGCAAGACTCTTTGGTTCACCACAAAATTTTCTCAGAGAGAAAGTATGAATATTAGTAACTCTTGAAATAGAAATGGCTTTCAGATTATTTTCTAAACAATAAATTCTTTTTTTCGGCAAGATGAGAAATCACCAATTTAAAACTTTAATCTGCCAACAGGTTAAAGCAGTTAAAGACTAGTTGGGGACAGATACAAATCACGAGTGTGAGAGCATCTCAGTATGTTACTTATCTTTGATTTTCCTATTCCTATTCCAAGTAAGATAAGATGGAATATTTTTTTAGTCTTTTATGCAACTGGTTGTGTGAAAGATGAAGGGTGGGAGATGACAGAGGTGTGAATTGGGTTTTGTATTGTCTCAGAATGGACAGCAAAGCAGTAGGGTAAAATACGTGCACTTGCAGATGTTCTATGTAACCTGCTGACTCTGTAAGCACAGAAAAAGCACATTTTAGGAAAAAAGCTTTATACGGAACTTCCTCATAGTATTATATTGTTGACTTGTTAATAGCTATTTTTAGTCATATAGGTCCAAATAATTTTACCTTAACGTGATCAAAAGCAGCGGAGTTTCCTCAGACACAAACCCCGTCTCATATGTCTCTATTTGCAAATCGCTTACAGATGTGAACAGGCATGTCTCCAGCTCTTCGTTTACATTAAAAAAATAAAAAAACCTGCACTTAAAGTAAAATTACTTAGTTCTAAATATTGCTATTTATTAGTCTGTTTAACTAAGCAATGAGTTTGCAGTAATTGGTCCAGATTTACCATAGACAGATACAGTGTTTGCTTGAACTAGTAAAGCTAAGGTGTCAGTATTTACTAGCTAAAGCGAGTTCCAACTGGAACATTCTCCTTTTTCCAAGAGTTTACATCATCATGAAGAGGCTTGTGTAACTTCTGAGAGCACACAAAAATGTGGAAAAGAAAACAAAAAAACCCCAGTACTCTCTGTGAAGAACTGCATCTGTTTGGCACCGTCTTTTATAACACAAACACCCCCACTAATGTGAATTTTAACACTAACACTTTGGGTTCTCATGCACAATCTTTTAATACACTCTTCCAAAGAGTGGAGCAATCACAAAGCTGCTAAGTTCCAGGCTTTAGAAATTAGTATAACTGCAAATTTGGTCATCATGTGTGCTTCACTGCATGTGTGAAAAAAAGAAAGTAAGTAAGGGAAGGGACAGGACTCAGTATTTTTAAAAGCAGTGAGTGTCTTGGGATATATTAATTTTTAGATGCTCAACTTGCAATAGCCTAAAACCATAATTGTTAAAAAGTTCTGAGCTCTTGCAACACATCCAAGTTTCCTTAAATATGGATTTATCAAAAACAGTTTATTTAAAATAATTACTCTCTGGTCTATCAACTTATTTTTTTATTAATTTCAGTGACTGAGTGTTCCTTTGGAAAAACATGTAACAAGTACACCAGACAAAAAAGCTGTTGATATTTCACATGATGTCCAAAACAGTTCTTTGAAATAAAAGTATCTTCTAAAAACTGGGTGAAGTCAAGTGGGCAATGTTGTTGGGTTTTTCTGGTGCAACACTGATCCTTTGTTTAGTAACATTCTTATTAAAAGAGGACATTTTATCAAACAGATCACTGAAAGCGTAAATATATAGAAGTGGAAACTGTCTACATATCTCCATGTATCAACACACCTCAGTATTAGGTGTGCTGCAGTTTACATAGCTCCTAGCAATGATACCGTTGTTCAGCAGCGCGCTCTGCCTTTGTGCTAGACACCTCGGCTGAAGACATCTTCCCAGTTATTTGGACTGGAGAAGATGGGGCTTTAGTTCTCTGCTGGATATGGGATCTCACTGTAGCATTACTTCACTAGGCCTGGCTTGTGGTGGACATTAACACAGGTTTGCGTAGCTCAGAAAGATCTCAAAAGGGACCCAGGAGCATTTTCTCATTCTGCTGACACCTCGCCCCACTGCAGTAACTGGTCACTTATGAGGCACGCTCATTTCTGCACGTACTGCCGTCACATCGTTGGGCGTATCCAGGATGACATTTGCACAGAAATGACTCTTCCATGTTAACACATTCACGTTCACAGTAACACTGACCTAAAGCATAGAAGTTTATTTGTGTGGAGAGAAAGACAGTGAAGAATTCAAGCCAGCCATGAGGGTTTTGGAAGTAAAATGGTTTAGAAATCTCCCTTTTCTTATGGATTCTGTGATTTGGACACCTTTTAAAGCTGATAGCAACCTGAAGATCTGAAAGCAGATTGCAAACACTTGGCCATGCAAGACTTCACTTTGACTCCCATAGACCTGCTCCTGTAGGCATATATCCTCCTGCTGGGCGTGTACAGAAATTTACATTTTATTTTACAAGCTTATCTAAAATGAGCCTTGTTATAACCAGATTTGGAATAGGGTCTTAATTCTGGAAATATCACCAGGTTTACAGTCAAATCCAAAGCCCTCTAAGGTTAAGGAAAAATTCCAAATGGGAATTACAATTTGCCTTTCACTTGCAATTATATTCTTGGCAAAAATATTGTACACAATGCTGTTCTTTTGCTCCTATACTCACTTAGGCATATCCAATCTATAAAAACCTGAATGTATTAAAATACCATATAGATAACAAAAAACAGATTAGCATGGATTGCTGTAAAAACAGCAAGGTTTTTGTAGACAAAGTCTTTGTAGTCTTCGTCTGTGTTGGCAAAGTATAGACATCTGTGTAGATAAAGTTTCTTCATGTGAACACATCTTTAAGACTGAAAGAAGGTACAGTTCCAAAACCAGATAAATTTTATGAGCATCTAGAAATATAATTATCTTGTTTTAGCCAAGCTTCTTATTCATAAAACATGAGCAGAACAATTCTGCCTCTGGCCCAAGATCTGAATCACCACATCAGGCTTGTTCATTTTGCTGAATATATTCTCCTTAAACTTTAATAACATTACACTGAAAATCTGCTGTGATTCCAGGCCCCCATTCAAGAAGAGCTGTAACATGAAAGTCTTTCTAGAGTAAATAGTTTGTGTGATTGGTTTAGAACCCTGACATTGCTGAGGCTGTTTTTACACTTCTAAGAAACTGCAGGGTTTTGTGTGACATTAAGTTGATTTTAATAACTACATTACCTATTGAATACTTTCCCAAGCTAATGAAATACATCTGTCCTTGGCTAAACCAACTGAGCAAAGCAAGGTGAATTTTTACAATTTTTTTTAAAGCTGTTTGTGTCACTACCAGACAAGGTCAGAAAGTTTCACGTAAGTAATGAACTTGTTTTTGAGTCACTCTGGTTCCTAAATTACTTCTTGGGTTTTCATAAATCTCTTCAAAAAATACCTAATATACAATCTAGTCTACCAAACAGAGAACAGTGTATTCTTCTAGCATGACTGGCTCACTTAACATACAAGTTTATAATGAAACATTTGTTTCAACCTTTACTATAGAGAAAACTTTCATCTTCTAGATGGGAAACCGTTCACAGCAGGTTTGAGAAATAAAAGCAGATGAACTTTACTATGTCCAAAGGATTACTTACTTTTGCATGTTTTCTTATCTGGATTAAGCCTAAAACCTTCTTGGCATCGACAAAAATAGGAATCATCTGTATTAACACATTCCTGTTCACAGCCATGGTCCTGAAGAGCACAAAAGTCTGGTCCTAAGCAGGAAGTGAGAAATACAATACCTCAGAAATAAGCTAGATAAACCCCAGTTACTTTGTTTTCTATGGCTTTTCTTTTCTAGGCACCATTCTGACTTTTTATGATGTTTCAAACTACGAAAAGAAAATTTTCATTTTTCCAAATATCTGCAACACTTAAGTATACCTGATATGTATACCTCAGTGAATTCTTTGAGAACACATGTACTACATGCAGTTGAAGCAGTTACTCTCAAATATTTCTTAACATCTTGCAGTTAAGCCCTCTACATTGCCTCATCAAAATTGCCACTTTATTTTACTCAGAGCAAGTTGGATACAATCTCTAATAAACACACAAACATGCTTTTGAGTGATGTTCATTAGATCAAAACAGGACAATCAGGTCATCAGGAGCACTGGTGTCTTAATAACTCTGGGTGTTTGCCACATGGTTCTTCCATTTAAAATGCTCATGAAAGGGAAGACAAGCAAAGTCTAGAAATAGCTATTATTTGTGTATAAAATAACTTTAATCATAGAATCATAGAATGGCCTAGGTTGGAAGGGACCTTAGCGATGATCTAATCCAACTTCCCTGCCCTGGGCAGGGACGCCTCTCAACCTGATCAGGCTCCTCAAGGCTCTGTCCAACTGCCTTGAACCCCTCCAGAGACGGAGCATCCACAACTTCTCTGGACAATTTATTCCAAAGTCTTGTCACTCTTGGACTGAAGAATTTCTTCCTAAAATCTAATTTAAATCCATTCTCCTTGAACTTAAACCCATCTCCCCTTGTCCTATCAGTGGACACTCTTGCAAAAAGTCCCTCCCCAGCCTTCCTGTAGGTTCCCTTCAGGTATTGGAAGGCAGCTATTAGGTCCCCCCAGAGTCTTCTCTTTTCCAGACTGAACAATCCCAGCTCCCGCAGCCTGTCCTCATAGAGGTGCTCCAGCCCCTGGAACATCCTTGTGGCCCTCCTCTGAACATGCTCCAACAGATCTACATCCCTCTTATGGTGAGGACACCAGAACTGGACTCAGTATTTAAGGTGGGATCTCACAAGAGCAGAGTACAGGGGTAGAATCCCCTCTCTTGACCTGCCGACCACGCTTCTCTTGATCCATCCCAGGATGCGGTTGGCCTTCTGGGCTGCATGAGCACACTGCCGGCTCATGTTGAGCTCCTCATCTATCAACACTCCTAAATCCTTCTCTTCAGGGCTACTCTCAACCCACTCTGTGCCCAGTTTGTATGTGTGCCTGGGATTGGCCCGACCCAGGTGCAGGACCTTGCATTTTGATTTGTCGAACCTCATGCAGTTTGCACTGGCCCTTTTCTCAAGCCTATCAAGGTCCCTCTGGATGGCATCTCTTCCCTCAAGTGAGTCCACGGCACCACACAGCTTGGTGTCATCGGCAAACTTGCTGAGGGTGCACTCAATGCAATTGTCCATGTCACTGATGAAGATGATGAACAGCACTTTGATGAAGTCAAAGAACCTGACATTCACTTAGATGCAGTGTCCGACCATCACTTAGTTTCATATCAGTGGAGTTGATTAATTTCTAGTAGTGAAAAAATGATATTAACCGTTCAGCACTGATAAAAGTAGACAAAAAAGCCAGAAATCAAGTAAGCCACGTTTTTAAAGACATCCAGGTACTTCTCAACACATCATTACACAATCTGAAAACAGACATTCAGAGGTTACAGAGGAAATTGGCTTCCACCAGAACTATTCTTTCCTTGTATGTGTGGTGGGCTAATTCAGCCTTTATTTATGATGAAAGCCCTTAGCAATAATAAACCACCTGTATTTTCAGGACAAAGTGGAATGTGACTTTGTAAGAAAACCTGAGAGGAGTATTTTAACATTTTTGAACTCCACATATTTACAGAATATTTCCTTTACCAAAACTTGTTATGACAGCATATGAACATACACACATACATAACACAGGCACATCTTACCTGTTCACTAAAAAGAATCATTAGAAAATATTATTTGTTCAAGAGTGCACTGAAGAGACAGAAACCATAAACCCACACTTGTGCCACAAATGAATATAACTGTATGCCTTCTGGACCTACTCAGTGCTGGGTGGCATTTACCTGCTCAAATCCTGGCCAACTCAAAGTCTGCCCAGACTTCCTGGGTAACTGACTCTGAAGATGAACACGAGAGTTGAAAAATAGGTATTATTACCTTTGTTGGAACCTTGAGGCTATTATGTGGGGAACACTCGAAACACCTTTCACAAGGTTTCATTAAAACAGCCCAGATTAAGGACACTAACAGAAGGCCTCTACCACCCACAGCTCACGTGAACCTACCCATAGCTCATGCAGGTCTCTAAAGACCAATGGTTGAGGCTCAGCACCCCTAAAGTACAAGCAGAAGTTACCCTTTGTCCTCTTGAGAGGAGCAGCAAGAGTGGCAAAAGTCCCCTTAACAGTTAACTTAGTAGCTAGGAACAACCTCTGCCTGCCTCACTGACAATCTGAATTTGCTGCTCCTTTCCAGCCACATACAGAGAGCTCTGCTGGTGTTGGCAGGGTTGCCCTCATGAGCCATGTTCTTTGTATTTCCTTCTAAGAAGTTTGGAGCAATTCCCAGAGAAAACAATTGTCAGATATGCATGACTGTACGGATAACATTTACATTTTCAAGCTTTTCCTTGTAGCCATGAGCATGAAAGCTTATTTTCTATTTTTGAAAGGAAAACCAGGTTCCTGATGTAATCATGAGATCTTGGGAGCCGGTGCCTCAGGTCTGTTTGCTGACGCAGAGATCTGGGCTGCCACGGGTGTGAGCCTTGGCTAGCTGGTGATCATCCCCAAGCCAAATATGTAGAAATTTATGTTAAAGGTTTTAAATTTACAAACATTTTAAATACAGCGAAGTTTGTTTCTGCATGTTGTTTATGCTGACTCAAGGGCAGTGTGATTCATAACATATGGGAGCTAAAGGACACTTCTGCTCTGAAGAGCTCTCATGCTGTCTTGACTTTCACAACATTAAGATCTTCGTATTTCTTTCATTCATGCTTGATTATATTAGTGAGGCTCAGAAGGTATCAAGTGTAAGGAGAAGTGGCTTAGTAAGTTTTGTTTATGCTTAGATTCAGGACATGCATCTTGAAAGAGAATGACTTGACATAGTATTTGCTCATTCCTTCCTGACTACTTCCGAATCTATCTCTATGACCGACAGTATCCAGTCACTTTGATTTTTCCCTGATTGCAACTTGATGGATTTTTCTCCCTTAACTTTAAACTAATTTAAAGCATTTATAACAAAACAGAGTGCAGTTAACATGGTAGAGATGCACAGAGCTGTGAGAAGCCTGGTTGGTGGCCTCTGCCCCTTGGCTTGGGAGCTGCATTTAATGTCAGGCTCTCACCCTTGGTTCTTGCCTGAGCTGCAATATAGGTATGCCTGGACCTAGCCTTGTATTTTGCTGATCCTGATCTGCAGACTGGCTGACCTGATTTCCTGAACTGACCTTAGATATATCTCAATACTATGGACTTGTCTAGTGATCAGACTTGTCTGGTGACGGACTGTTGGCAGAGCCTGGTTACTGTCACAGGACCCATTTTGTTCTTCTTCTTTGGGTCCTGTGGAACCAAAAGCCTTGTCAGAGAGTTTACTGACCCTGCTTGCCTTCCTTTCTCCATTCCAGAGATTGCACATGAAACCATAGATGTTCCTGCTTAGAATTTCTGGTCAAGATCAGAGAGGAAATGACACTGGGAATATGACAGTGGAATTTGTTACTCCACCTGACCAGGAGGACATACTGAATAAAGCTTTCTACAAACAGCAGTTCAACTTTGAAGAGGAGGCTAGAGTAGATAACTTCCAGAGATCCTGTCCAACCAGCATTTGAAAGCTTTCATTGTTTTAAATATGAAGACAGCAGCACATGGTCAGCCTGGCAGCCTATATAGCGCAGTGTGTTGTCTCATGCAATAGATACCTAAATCAGAGGACAGAGACAGGACAAGCCTGAAATACTGCTTTCCCAGAACATTCTCTCAGCTTCCATCATTCTGTGGACCATCAGTTTAAACACACTAAAATAATTCATACAGTTAGACCATAAGCTAAAAACAACTCAACACATCTAAAATGTCTATGTAATTTTAAGGTCTTTGTTCAATTCAAACCAGAGGAGAAAACACTACTTAAAATCCACATTCTTAAATTTAAGGAATTAACAACAAATCGTGCTGGGGCAGTAGAAAACTCTTAGACTATAGTAAGATTTCATAAATATATGGATGTAGAAGTATAAGAGAATTTAGCCAGTCCTTAGCAGACACGTAACTTGACAAAGTAGTGAATTCATACAATTTACAAACAACGTGAACCAGTACAAACTGCACTCTGGTCCTTAGGGAGACAGGAAATTAATCTCCCCTGCCTCTGAGTGTCTAAAAATTAGGTGTCTAGTCTGGCAAGGTATCCAGGCTCCCTATACAGTCAAGGAAAATGCAGGCACTTCCATAAATTTGTGTCAGAGCTGTGAGTAATAACCTTCTAGAAGTCTGTGCTCTTTTCCTTGATCATGAGGTCATACGTACAGCCTGGATTAGATGCTTTCCTTCTAAATGTTAAACTTGAGTGAAATAGATACCAACCATAATACAGAAAACAGACTACAGGTTATCACAGTCTTTTTTTTTAAAAGCTGTAAAAAGCACAAAAATGCAGTGCTATATTGATACATTTTTTGAGAAATAATATTTGAACACATTTTTCAATAATATGGGCTCAATTTAGCACTAGCATAAGCAGTTCCACTCACCTAAAACTAAAGGAGTTTGTCTGCTTACAGTCACAATAACAACATTTCTTTACCCAGGCCCATATTTACGAAGAAAGGTAACTAGGAAGGTACATTATAGTTCTCCCTTCACATGTCCTGAAAGCGAGTTATGACATTGAACACTGTAGAGGTTTTAGCTTGTTCTCCCAATTACAGGAAGCCTAGGCAAGAGTACTTTTCTGGTCTGTCAGTTCCCCTTTACTTTATATCCACTCTGGTAATTTTTGAGCTTCTTAGCCTGGTATCAATCAAATTTGACAAACAACAAACAAGCAAAGCCATGAAGTTATTAAAAACTGGTGGAAACATGGAAAATTGGTAGAAGATACTGACATTGTCAGAGCTTTGGCACACTATCAAAGAACTTACTCTTGAGAAAAATACATAGGAAAATAGGCTGCAATGTTTCCTCTGATTGTGGAACTACTCTATTTAATTTTATCTTGTCTTACAAACCAAGCTGATTATAAATTGTCTTGTACAGACTTGTTTGTCTACCCAGTCAGGGAGATGATATTCTAACTGAAAAATCTGGACAACAAAAGAGACTACACAAGACAAAACTTCGGGCTTTTACTGTTGAAAAGGAGCCTGGTTTCATGTTAAAATCTTCCTGTTCATAGGACTGACCCCTACCCTTAGCTCCTCCCCTAAAAGCCAAACTGTCCCCCAATAACTTGTGTTGCTTTAAAGACCTCTGGCTTCCAGAGCAGTCCCACATTTTCTGTACCTGACATAATATTCAGTGTTGTCAGGACCAGTGGGAGTACTACTGCTGAGAACTGGAAGAAAGAAAAAGTACAAACGGTTCATAATTAAACTTTATCACAACTTACTTCTGCAAGTTCTTCCGTCCGGATTTAAAATGAACCCGGGGTGGCATCTGCAGTAATAGGAGTCCTCAGTGTTAACACATTCATGTTGGCAACCTTGGTTATCCAAAGCACAGTAGTCTACAACTTAAAAAGAACATGACCAACATTAAAAATTAGAAAAAGAAAATTAGTACTATTATGCATAGGTATTATTGCATTAGTTACATGTAGTATCTATAAAAAAAGGAAAAGCTGACATAATTTCTGACCCAAAGAGCCTTCTGCCAAAAAACAGTGCGCTTTCAATACTAGTTGGCAAATCAGATTTGGTATGAGTCCTGGATCATTTCTCCTACCCTTTGACCTTTTATCAACTCTCAGATTATCAGGAGCCTTCTCAAAATGTTTTCTCAGATCTGGAATCCATGCCTCAGACAGTAACTCTGTCCAGATGTTCATACTGTAGGCCAGGGTGTAGCAAAGTTTGCTTGATTTCATTTTGTCTTCTGTCTCTCCAGTCCCAGTCCCGGAACTGCTGTACTCTTCCTTCATTCCCTTCCAGCTCTACTAGCTTCCAAGAGCTATTCCCATAGCCTAAGTATACAGGAGACCCATGGCAATACCTTCTACACCAAAGACTGTCACAGTATATTTATTCCCTCTAATGTGCTCCAGATTCATCTGGTACAAAGCAGCTGCAGCTATGAAGTCTGAGAGCTTCAGGCTGATATTTACCACTGATAGTTTGCTTATATAATGCCTTTTCGTTTAAAAGAAATAAATTATCATAGCTAGTCCAGTCATTTATTTCATAGGTCTGGTCATTTGTCACACAAATCCATATTTACAAGATAGAGTGCCAAAAGGTATTATGATAATTAAAGTTTACTCAGCCAAGCTTATTCAAAAGTGCTAAAGATGTTTAATGATTTATTTTTTAAAAAATTTCTTTGCAGGTAAAGCTGTTTCTTCACAAAGAAAGTCTTAGAATAAATTAAAGATAAGTCACAAAGCAAGTGCTCTGTCCTCAAAGAGCTGCCAGGCTCACATTAGGCAAGTTTACCTGATTCTTTCTGCAGAAGACAGGAATGTGCTCAGCTTCACACAGACATTTAATAAGACAGGTTCTCCTTCTTTGCCAGCTGAGTAATTTTTTCATTACTTTATACTGCTGAGCTTCCCAAATTGCTTTAAGAGGCAGTAATTTGTTCTAATGAAATCAGTTTCTTCTTCAACAGCCCCGCCTTTGCAAATCCTGTGTATATTCAGGTGTGCTAAGATATTCAGTCAAGGTCATCTAGTCAAGTAGGCAAATAATCCATTCAGTTACTTTGAAAGAGCTTCTTTTAACCCTAAAGAATATTTGTGTTGAGTCAAGTCAAACTAGACTACTTACTGGCTGCTAAGTGAGATCATTTTCCTTGTAAGGACGTTCTGTTTCCGGACTGAATAGCTCCTATTTACAGAATATATATTTCAAGGATATAATGTGTCATACAATTAGCTAGCTTTCCTCTTAAATTAATTCTAACCACACACCCATTTTCAAGTGTTTTAAAAGACACCCTAAGAAATAAGTAGGCCAAAGTATATATATGTTTATCTTTCTATCTAAAATCATACCTGGGAAATAGCCCATATGAATTGCTCCATAGTCACCTCCTCCACTGCATTTAAGCCCTAACAAAAACACATTTCTACCACAATACCTGCAGCTGCCTGACTAATGAGTATAATGAGGAAGAGAGAAGAGAAGAGAAGAGAAGAGAAGAGAAGAGAAGAGAAGAGAAGAGAAGAGAAGAGAAGAGAAGAGAAGAGAAGAGAAGAGAAGAGAAGAGAAGAGAAGAGAAGAGAAGAGGAGTTTCAGTTGGAAGGGACCTGCAATGATCATCTAGTCCAGCTGCCCGACCACTTCAAGGCTGATCAAAAGTTAAGGTCTGTTTTTAAGGGCATTGTCCAATTGACTCTTAAACACTGACAGGCTTGGGGCATCTACCACCTCTCTAGGATGCCTCTTCCACTGTTTGACCACCCTCTTGGTAAAGAAATGTTTCCTAACACACAGTCTAAACTTCCTCTGGTACATCTTTGAACCATTCCCGTGCATCCTGGGATGCACTGGATACCACGGAGAAGAGCTCACCACCTCCCTTTCTCCTTCCTCTTCTCAGGAAGATGTAGAAAGCAATGAAGTTGCCCCTCAGCCTCCTTTCCTCAAAACTAGACAAGCCCCAAGTCCTCAGCTGCTCCTCATAAGCAGCTCTTACACCAGCTTTGCTGTTTTAGAGACAGCTAAATACGTCTTAGAATGCTTTACTGTCAACATCTGAGCAACTACGACCCTTGGCACTTTCAGATGACAATCTCTTGAGGGAGGAACTGTGCTCCTTACGGCTATGCAGCTGCTAGTGTACTGTGGACACAAAGAAAAAAAAAAACCAATTAAATAAATAACTAATTTTCTCAGGCTTGTTTTTTATTTCCATTTATAGCATTCTGGGGAGCTCTTACAGAATTAGGTCTGCTGGTCCATATGAATAACAAGAATATCAGTTTAAATAATGTCTTTCCACTAACAGAGTTAAGAAGTGAGAATGTTCTCTTGACGGTTTTTTTCAATAGTTTTTGCACACAAATTGCTGTAATTCGAGGCAGGCTTAGCCTTGCAGACTAGCACTAGTAATTGACCTACAAATTAACTTCAGTTGTAGCTTCATGTTTCATTTTCGTGGTGCTTGCTTAGAAAGGAAACTTGTTCGCAGCATTCCAGTCAGCAAGTAGGTAAGTTGTCTGTGGAGTTAAACCTTCCTGAAAAGACTGAGAAAAATTATAAATCTAGATTTCTTAAACTGAAGTACTGTAATCCTTTAGTTGGTATGCAGAAAATATACACAGTCTGTAAAAGAGCAAAGCAGAATAATATTTTCCTACTTTTTTTTAAGTTTCCTTATTTTCATATTTCTGTACTGAGTCATGAGATATGCACTGGAATGTGAAAACTTAGACATCTCACTCTTTTTCATGTCAGCCCATGCCTATTTCAATAAAAAAACTTTTCTAAAGAATGAATTAATGATCTTTCATTGAGTAAGCAATTCATTCAGTTGTCATCTCCCCATATTTGTTCCACTCTGTTTTTCTTGGCTGGAATTAGTTGGTAAATGATGAGAACCATCCTGTACTTCCAGTTACCAGTTTTGCACTTTTGTGTGCTTACGCTGCCCTCTCTGAACTGTGGACAGCAGGGGTCACCTTTCTCTTGTATTGCTGTTTTACTGCTATGATGTTTATATAGGTTATTCAGGCTTAGGAGAACGACTTTAGAAGAAAAAGGCAGGAAGGTTACATAAGTAAAAGCATAAGGAGGATGAAAAAGAATGTGGAAAAAGAATAGAGCAGACTCTTAGAAGACTCATAAGAACCTAGAACTCAGCCAAAAAGTCTCTTGGTGCCAGGACTGCAGAGAGGTGCCAGCAGTCAAACCACTGTCAGGTCCCAAGCCCAACAGCTGCAGCAATATGGAGACAGTTTAGTACTAGCGCCAGGAAAGAGAGGACAGCGTGTCCAGCAACACCAAGAAGGTGGAGAGGCTGTCCAGCAGCATGACGGCAAAAGAACGGCTCATTACCACTAAACTTTAACTGATAGGATTTTGTTCACCTGAAAGGAGGGCAGTTAATACAAAAAGCTGTTTAAAGAGGCAAAGCAATAGTGCTCTGCCAACCAGACTTATCATGAGCACACAGTTTCAAATATTGTTTAGTCTACAAATTTGTTCATAAAGTGTGTGTTGCAAATATGTGGAGTGGTGGGCTATTCAGTGGTCACTCTGAATGGATAGGCTGTGAGTTGCTGGTTGTGAGATTTAATTGACAATTGTCATTCAAATATCTGGCTGGCATGTGTCAATAAAGCAATTAACAGTATTGATTTTGATCCTTAACCAAAGAAATTAGCCCATCAGAACGGAAGAAGAGAACTTAATAACCCTGCCTGTGAAATGAGTTTTCTTCACTTTCTCATTTACTTTTGCTGGAGCTAATGTTTTAGAAGTCTTAGATACCTTAGAGAGAAACCTTTGGCTCTTTGAGAGAACTGTGATGCATAGGTCTTACTGAAATTCTCTATTCATTCTCTGGATGAAGATGAAAGAGTAACCTTATTGAAGTCACTGCCTTTTGCAAAGTTGTTGTTGTACTCAGTAGTCTCTGCTATATGTGTGCATCAAGATCTTCCTTCTAAACATTTGAAAATAAATACATCAGATAAAGGAATGGTCAAATAGCTTAAGCGTAATGAAAACTGAGAGTTATCACTATTGATTCAGTACTATACATAGTCTCCTTTTCAAGATTTCCTAGCAAGGAAGATTATTCATTGGTGATCACATCTACAGGAGCTGTACATTCTTGGTAGTAGCATATTCCTCAAAAAGTCAAATTCTGGAGACTGACAGCTAATAGAATCCGCAGACAAATTAGTATCAAAACTGCAAATGGCCCAGACAATATTCTCCTGATCAGGAAATGTAGACAGGCTGAGTTCTGCGTGGGTAAAACATAATTAATACACATTGAAGCACACATGTGCCTCAGTAAGAAATAAAAACATTAAATGGTCATATGAATGCAGAAGAAAATTGAACAATAGAAGCACTAATAATTAATACTGCTTATTATTGCAGGGGTGTGAATGAGTTCATGGGTTTTTGCTAACTAAGTATAAATGAATAGAAATCAAGTGGAGAGGAAAGCCAGCTGTAAAATGCAACAAACCATAGTGAACCCATGAATGCACCGTATTTTGAAAATAACTGAAATTAATTGAGACTACAAAAGCTTCAAATGTCATCAATAGAACTTATATGAGACCTGTATCTCTTCATGTCAAGAGGGTCAGTGAGGAGGTAGAAAAAAATGATAACGGTGTACTCCATGTCCAAACAGCACTCTTGCGTCTTTGCAGAATAATTATTAACAGGTAAAACAAGAGTACCACTGTAAGAGATTTAATAAACGGCTTCATATTTATTAGAGAGGGTAATGTCAGGTTTGGTATACAAAGAATTTCACCAAGATCTACTTTTATCCCTACGATGCTATGGTAGCTACATCCCCAGTAAGAACGTTTTGGGCTGTAAAGGACACTTTACCTTAATCAAGAGAAAATAGTAACAACAGCTGATGACACTAAGCATCGATATTTTAGATTAGAATATATGGTAGGAAAGAACTGGGGATGAAAGAACCTACCAACAGGAGTCATGGATTTTCTGTCTCAGGACACAGTCACATGAACAGCAGAGAAATACATGCTTTATCCTAACACAGGTAAATGTCATGAGGGTTAGCTAAGGTTATTAGATGAACTGCTGTGGAGTGTTAGAAGCAGAAATTTGGGCCAGAATATCTAACAGGCCTTCTTGCTTAAATAGCCATTATTAGCTGCATTTCCAAAATAATTCAACTTCAGAAAATAGGTTCTTAAAAATGGTGTATTAGTGGCCAAATTATGCTGAGGATAAATTAAGCTGAGAAATTTAAACATGCCTATACTGCGATCATGAAGATAGAACTAAGAGAAACATTTCTGAAGAGTAAATATAGAGTGAATGTTCTTCATAACTGCATGTTATCCCAAGGTCTTAAAAAAACATAAAACCTCATCTGTATGTCCCATGTGAAACTACATGCAGGATGATCAGTTCCATAAACTATCATCTATTTTGCATCTCAAAATAGGATTGCCCTGCAAGGTACTGCGAAGGTAATAAGTGACAGATAATGTCAGAATTGTTTAAAATGACAAGAAAGAGTAACCTGTTGGATAAAAATATTGTGATTGCCTGTGGCAGATTTAGGGCCAAGGATTCACTTGGATTCACTTCCACAGGTTTTCAGCATGTGTTTGAAATTAAGCAGGTATTTAACTGCTTGCCTCAAGAGAATACCTAATAAATAAGATGATTTCTTTTTCAAGGACTCACTAGGGATTTGTTTGTGGTGGATACCAGAAGACAATATTTTGCCAAAATGTAGTGTGAGTTGAAAAGTTTATGAGAAGGCTAACGGGTTAGTGAAAAAGATTATCCTTTAAGTATTTACTGTGTATAAAAGGGGCCGAAGAGGGAGGTACTTATATGGTAATAGAGAGGGAAGTACACTTTGTGTTAAAAAATTATACTGTATTTCCACACTCACTCTTTTGAGTTGTAATTCTTGGAGTTGATGCTTGCTTCTTTACCGCTCATAGTGAAAATTAAAGGCACATAGTTGATAGGTTCTTACAGAAGGCTAAACTTTCCTTAAAGTCATCTTCCCAAAAAGAGTTTTAAAACTCTTCTGGCATGACCACAAAATCAAGTGAGAAATGGCAAGAAATTGTCCACTTTCAAGTTTTGTCATGCAAAACTTCTGTCTGAAGAGGAGCTTCTGAGTTTGTCTGGCTTTGCTTAGTTTTTATTGGCCACATATACCACACCACTACATGGCTGGTCACCTACATCGATCTAGAATGAAACAACCGGTATGTTGTTTCAAAACACCAACATCCTGTTTTGTGTGAAATTAGTTGGAACAGTTTTCCCAAGTCACCCTTAATCAGTTACACATCAATGTCTATTCGTTCTTGTTTACTACTCATACAGGAGAAGAGAGCTTCCCATCATTGTCTATGGCTAAACTGGATATTAATTCACATTGAATTTCCCTTTGGCTTGTGTCAAGAAAGAAACTTATACTCACCAACACAATTCTTTCCATCTGCATCAAGTTCATACCCCTCATAACACTGGCAGACGTAAGACCCAGGTGTGTTCACACAAATCTGCTCACAGGCATGTTTCTCCACGGCACAAAGGTCCTGAGCTACAAAATGTAATTGCATGAATATGAAATTCTCTGACCTTCTATAATGCTGAGGTAGACTACAGACCAAAAACAAATGTCAGGAAGCTATGAACAGCTCTTTAAAGATGAGCACAGATCATACCAATATTCTGTCAAACAGTGCTGGAACAATCACTTAAAGCTGAGGAGCTCATTCCTTTAGCTGAAGATAATGCCTAGTGATGGGCCAACGGTGCCTAGTAGAGTTGTTTGACTGTATGCTTCTCTAAAATATTTGAAGGGCATTCTTCAGATTTTTTTGGGGGGGAAAAAAAGGTGTTTATTTGTGTAATTTTTTGTCTTTTTTGCATAACCCTTCTAGATAAATGATGATGAGGTTGGAAAGGGAAAGAAAGGGAAAACACATCAAAATACTTGGGGATATTTCATTTCTGAGCTTTGTGATTTTTTCAGTTTTGTGCAAAATACCATAGTTAGTTACCCCTCACAAGCAAACAATCTCATTAGAAAAACTACTACAACAAATTAGGCCAGTTCAGCATCTGGCCAAGTGAAACACATTGAGCTTTCTTTTAAAGCTTTCTGAGAACCCAGTTTCCCCAGCGAAATCTCTGGAAAGCAGAGTGCTTTGTGATGCTCACGATCAGCACAAAAGACTGCTCAACACATAATGATCATTTACAGTTATAAAAAAGGCTTTTGGAACATGTTTGAGGAAACTAGCCCAGAAAATACAAATTTTCTTTTATAGCTGTTTGATTCATATCAACCAGCATGATGAACAGTATAAACAACTGTTTAACTTGTTCTGATATAAACACCCACAAACAGATCATTTTCCAGCTTGTTTAAGCTACATTTCCTCTTCTGTACTATTTTGTATACTCATGTATAGTTTGGACACCTCTAGAAAAGAATGGAAGAGATTAAGTTAAACAAACAAATTAAGTGTAATAAGTAAAGATCAGCCATTATCTGACACAACCACTCTTCTCTAGAAAAGTTAGACCAAACTACATGAAAGGAGCAACCTTTCATTGCAAGTTAAAACAAAAAATATTTTTTTTTTCCCCCTAATGTCTTTCTGGAAGATAGCTGAGTTGGGTTTTTTTTGTTTCATTTGTTGGTTTTGTTATTTTTTTTTCACATGGAAAGCAACAAATCACAAGCATGGCAGTTTTCTTTCCTCCAATGGAAGGAAATATTTTTTTTCAGAAATAATGTTATTATGAAATGTATCAAAGAATAAAACTATCATCTATTCAAAAGAGAAATACACCTTTTTCTAGCCTGAAGCAAAGCTGTCAATTCATTGCCGATTGAAGCCACTTGGTTAATGGCTTTGAAGAACTGAAGAGGGATATGGTGTCCTCTCACACCATTAAAAAAAGGGAACAGGAGAATGAAAAAAGAGTATAAATTCACGTACAAAAGAATGAAAAGAGAGTATAACTTTGGATACATACCATCCATCTTTTCCACACTGTTTAATTTAGAAAGTGTTAAAATATATATGCAAGGAAACTATTTGATCATGAAAGAGCTGACAAATACATTCAAACCTTAGGCAAATACATCTGGTTTATATGGATCATATATTTCGCCAGCTTCAAGGTCAAGTGATGAACATGTCTCTATGCACTTGTGGACCATCAGCAGCCAGTGAAGTGCTGATAGGTTGTCGGTTTTTTCTATTCCCATGCCTCCCCTTATCTCCAGAAATAAGCTCTCCAGTTTGTCGATGCTTGGTCCCCTTTCCTCACAAATTCTGTAACTTCTCTGGACAGTTTTTAGACGTAGCGGTCTGACCTTGTCTGGACTGCTGCCATACCATCTCCCTCCTTTACCAACATTTGCATCATCCTAGCATCTTTAAAGCCAGTTTAATGTTTCTCAATATTAGATTTCCAGTGCTAATTGCTAAAATTGGTTTATAGTTTGGTGATTAGAAAAAAGTTTAAGAGAAGTAGGCTACAAACACATTGAATTACTCATTTCCCTTTCCTAGATTGCAATCTAGTATCACCTGGCAAGTGCACCGTCAAGCAAATCACCTGTGACAGCTAAGTGAGGAAAACTAATGTACAACTGAGTCATAGCTAAAAAAAGAAAGTAAAACAGTACAGCAGTGGGCTTCTAAAATTGATAGAAAAGGAGCATATTGAGGGCTACTGTGCATAGGTCACCTGTAGGAAAACTACACATAATTCCAAAACTCTCTTGGAAATTAATCTATAATTTGAAGAAGTGCAGTGCCCAAACTCTGAACTACAGACAAAGATGATGGAAATGTAACAATATACAGAAGAAGACACAATAAAGAAAGAATTTTTCATACTTGTAATTATATATTTTTGAATTGACTCTCTCCAAAAAATACAATTCTCAAAATCCATGTTAGGAGCGAAGATGGGGACAACATGTGAGAGGAAATAAAAAGAGAGAAATTTTAACTTTCAAATAATTTCCAGAAAACTGAAAGCAAAATATTTTTTTCTTAAAAATTCTTTAAGAAAATTAATAGCATGAAGAGGAGTTAAAAGAAAGGTTTAAAAGAAACAAAAGGTTTAAATGAGAAGCATTTTAAGAGAGACACAATGAAAAGAGTAAGTTAGAGAATACTACTGAAATGTGATTACATAGTTGGAGCCATCATTTGGGATTCTGATCATCCTCTTTCTGAAGAGCTATAGTAAATAGGCAGAAGCAGAGAAAATAGGCTGTGTGAAAAATTTTTCTTGTCACTATTCTTGTTTTGGCTCAGCTGCTAAACCAAATAATAATCAGGAAATATTTCAGATTGGATTTATTTTTTTTGGGTCTTCTCAAGGAAACAAAAACATGATTAAGGTGTTAAATTTGCTCCATTTAACACAAAATATTCCCCTAAAATCCACACGCATGCATACGACAAATGTCTACAGTTGGTGAAGGATGCTGGTGAGAAGGACTAGAAAACAGAGATTCCTAAAAGTAATTCATGGACAATACAGGACAAAATTCATGGACAATACAGGGCAAACCAGCTCCAAAGCAGTGTCTTGCCGTAGCCCAAAGGGCCTCAGGATGCTTCCACGCAGGAGCAAGAATGCTCAGATCACTCAGGCACTGACATTCTTTTGTTCCCATTCCTACTTATTGAGGCTCTGGCTGCAACCATGTGTCTCACTGCACATGTAAGGACTCTAATCTCCAACTGCAGTTGCCTCAGCTACTGACATGCTCTTGCTGTTTCAGTGGTGATTAAACATTTGATATAAAATATAAGACTAAGCAAGAGAGAGTAAGAACCTGCTAATCCCAAGATACCTGATTATTTTATCAGACTCTCCCAAGATGTGGAACATGTTAGCTCAAATACAAGGATAGGATTTGAGCCTGCATCCTTCACCTTTAATTCTAGATTATCAGTTGTGAAGGGTACATCCTACACTCTCACCATGACTTTCTCCTCCAGCTTTTTGAAAAGATGTTTTCCAAAATTTCTCTTCTGGCTAAAATCAGTTTGGCAAATTTCATTTGAATCCATGCACTGTCATGGGATAAAAAACTGCATTTTTAGCAAGTAATTACTTTGCACAAGTAATTAGGAACAGTGTTACGCAATTTCCTTAAAAATAATGGTGGATACAGAAATAAATTTGGTATACCCATCTAATGTGATCTGCTGTTAATTACTAGGAAACAAGCAAAAATGGACAAAAGAAATATTGCTTACAAAGATCACAGTTAAAGTGAAATACCATTTGTTATTATAAACTATGAAGGCAATTACTTAAAACTGAAAAAAATTCACTCATTTAAAGAAGCAGGTAAGAGAGCATAAGCAAGACTTTTGAAAGTAATCTTCGAATGGTTGCAAACCCTTGTACTTCAGGCAGCAGTTAGGAAGAGCTTTTCAGAATGGCAAGTTATTTCACAGTTCTCTAGTATGGGATTTATTATACCTTTCTGTTCTATTTAGTACTGGTTGCTATCTAGACAAGTTACTAAAGCAGTTGGATTCACTTCATGTAAGATGATAAAACAGTTCTTTCTTGGATTGTTGCTTTATTGTTGAACTTATTACACCAATAAAATTCAAATACAATTTCATGTAGTTACAGTTACCTCTGCAGAGCTCTGTATAAAAATTAGCTTGATATATTCATAAAGGTTTGTAAGAACTTCATTTACACAAAACAAGAAAAAGCATTGCAACTTCACCTTTTCTGACTTTTCTGATGACTATCATTAGTTATATGCTGAGTCCTTCCTTATGAGCCCAAAAAAAGGGTATGCAATGTTAAGCACTTTTTGAAGGATGAGTTAAGAAAGATAACATACTGCTGCAAGTCTTCTGATCAGCATTCAGAATGTATCCCTGTTTACATCTGCATATGTAGGAGCCAGGGGTGTTTATGCAGAAGTGATCACAGCGATGCTCAACTGTACTGCACATATGGCGTACTGAAAGACAAAAAAGAGTAAAATGTTACTAACTGCTCATCTTATTTACTTGTGTTCACAACTGAAAAAAAAACCTACTAAAGAAATTTAGAAATTTCAGATTAAGTGTTGACAGTAAAAACAAAAATGGAAGCTTAAGCCTACAAGACTGTAAAAAACCCAACCTTAACAAACAAGGCCAATGCATTTATTTCTCAAAAAAAGTAGGAATTTCTGCCTGGTTGGATTTGGTGGCATGTTTTGGACATGAAATTACATATGGAATGGAGATATAAACAAAACAAAAATGTCCAGTGGAGTATCTGAAAACACTAATCGCCTGGTGGTCCCAAGAAGACAATGAAACAAACTCACTGCATTCAAATTTAGAAAATAAGTGGAATTTAAGTACAAACTGCTCTAGAGGACATTTGGTTTCTTGAATGAAGAAAACCACCACAGAGCACAATGCTAAAGAAGAATGACTAGAAAACGACCTGATGAAGAATCTTGCTTGCTTAGTTATTAATGTTGAGGAACATACAAGCAACACCTGACACTGAGGCCATGCATTTCCAAGGCTCAGCAGGTGAAGCTGAACCGAGCTACACTCCAGAGTATAAATCCTTCTGAGACTATTTTTAACCTCTTTGTAGTTTACGTCTCTAATTCCAAGTAATAAAATGCAATACACTGAGATAGTAAGTAAGAAAAAAACCAGTGGTCTCAATTCTGTCAAATTCATTGCTGAACTAATTTTCTCTACTTCATCTCCTTGACATTTTCTTTTCACTGGAGTATTGACTGTATGTAATTTGTATAATATATAATAGGTGAATCACTCCCCAGAGAACATTGTGTGGAAAATAATCTATTTTGCTCACAAACAATTAGGAATTGATGTGCTTAGCATGTAGTATGTGTGGTATTTGTGAAAAAGAAATGTGGTTTTGGGATACATACTGCCTATGTGGTCTTTGGAATCGTTTCTAGAGTCATGCATTTGTTACTAATATACAAACCACCACAATTCCCAAATCTCTTAATCAGCTTTTTGGATCTCATAATTTTCTGCCATAATAAATCTCCTGAAGTACTTTTACTTATGTGAACACAGACCTGCTTGGATTTGTTGTCTTTTCATCTTTCTGTCACTCTGAAGTTTATGACTTCAGATACTTTCTAAACAGAAGTTTCCTCTTGGCTACATTTCACTAGCTTTCAACATCAGGTATAGCTTGTTATGATGAAAGAAGCACTTTGAAGTATGACAAATGAAAAATATACTAATTTCAGTAGTTGAAGCATCAGAAACTCTTAGCATATACTAATGCTATAGAATATGAATCTTTAGAACATTACTACACAAACAAGTCAGCCTTCCCATATCAAAAAAGCATAACATTGCAAAATGGAGTACTAAAAAATGGGGAAGGGAAGCATCATTCAGCGATAGGCTTCCCAGTAACTCAGTCCCTTCTGAGAATATATCATTACCATCTGTTATCAGTCTTCTTATATAGTGTCACATAAAATTTCTTCCAAAGTGTCTCTGTTGCACCCATTTCAAAGAATGAGCAGTACTCTCGTTGTCAGTCATATTTCTGTTGCAGGAGGTGTCTGGTGGACACAGCCAGGGACTGAAGTAATAGAAAGGGTGATCTCATAGTTAAGGAATTTTAATGTGAGCCCTATGAATTAGACTTTATCTCTGTCTATGTCACAGAGTCCTTATTTGATTTGAGGCAAACCAATAATATCAGTATCTTCATGCAAACATCAACCTTCACACTTGATGTGCTCAGGCTCTTATAATAACAGGCTCTTTATAATAACACTTAAATCTGGATTTCCAAGAATTCAGGGCACTCTCAACTGCACGTGAAGACTGTAGAGCTGTGACTGGTATGTTATATTAGTCTAAAAATACTAAATGCTCCATAAAATCAGTCCAGGGATTGTGCTGAGTCAAATATTTGAAGTTAGTGGGTGACCTTTACATTCTTAACACTCTTCCTTCAATGTAAAATGGAGGTGACACCACTATCTACTTTACATAATAGTAATAATAATAATAAAGACTTTATTTACTTCTGACTGCTTCATCCCAACTTCTTTCTTTCTCACTCTTCTTCCATTCAATCTCTACCTCCTTTCCTAGATTATGTTCACATTTCTGTTTCTCTTCTTAGATTTTAACTCGTCTCATGCCTCTGATTTCCCAGGACACCATTTGCTTCTCTTTTACCTTGCTGACAGTTAATAAAAAGAAGCCCCTGGGATCCCCTGGCTTCAACTGCTGTTCCTGACAATTCTAAATCTTTAGCAGCCAGAGGCAGGAACCGTAGGGAAGTTTTGACTTAGCAGAGGATGGAGCACAGCCAATTTATATGGATTCTTCTCAGAATATAGTTGCTGGGCATTGAGCGAACAGCGATTACTTTGGTTTTTATTTTCCCCACGGAGCTTCATCGCTTGGCCAGCTTTTTCTCTTATCTTCACAGGACCATGAAGACACACTCCCACAGACATCAGGGCAACCCGGACACAAGGGCAGCTCGCGTTCCAAGGTCTTTTCGCACAGTGTGAGGCCCAGCAGGACTGTAGGCCAGGAGGCTTGACCAGAGGGGTGCCTTCAATTGCTCTAGCAAAGAAACAAGGTGTCCAGATGTGCAGCTCAGCTACAGTGATATTGCCTCTGGATCCACGCTGGGGAGGACTTAAAAAAAACAACTGCATTTCCCAGGAGGAATGCAGGGGCTCCAGGAAGCAGAGGCTCTCTGGACGTTCAGCAAGCTGAACACTGCTTCGCAGCCCAGATGCAATAAAGTATTAAGGACTCTATCCGCAATTTGGACTCTTAAATTGAAATCTGTAAGAATCTATCAGCTTAAATTCTCTCTTGAATATGAGCGTGGTTTTTTATGTGCTGCTTTGGACCTCACCTTCAATTCCTGACACAGCAAATGTCGTGGAGGCATTCCCTGGGAAAAGGAGGCAGCAGCATTCCTTGTCACCTCCGTACTCCTCCATCTGCAGGGGGGTCGTTTTATTGAGGATCACATGTATTTGGATTAAAAGTGAGCTATAAAACTCTAATACATTTACTGGACACTGACTAGTCAGAAAAAAAAATGAGTAAGTGGTATTTGTACTGGATTTGTTTCTAAAATGCAATTAAGAAATCCAATAAAATGAAGTTCTGAAGCATGTGCTGTTCTGTTCATCCATTTAAACTCAGTCCATGTTTAGTTTACTTTTTCTTGATTTTAAATGTATCTTACTACGCCAGCTAATAATACAGCAAGGAATAAACAGGAAAAAATCTATTATCTGATGAATGTCTGTGATGGTTGCTTGTGCTGATGCAGTTCAGCTGGAGCCCTATTACTCTTTGAAACAATTTTGAAAAAGACCAAGTAAGGAAAATTCTCCACACTATCCTGACAATAAGCCTCAGTTCTTTTCTGGCAAAAGCATCCCTAGAGATGAGTGAGTATTCAATCTCACCATGCATTCTTTTTCTGGACTCTGCTGAAAACTATTCAGCTTCATGACAAATCTGTATGAAGATATTTTGTATTTATCTCAGGAAAAACTAAAAAAGAAATTTAAATTAATTACATAGATTGGAATAAAATGAATTATGTATGCCGTGATATTTGTAAAAGGTAATTTATTACCAGAATTACTACAGATGGAAGTGATTTCTCTGTTGTAAAGTAATAACTATTAAAATAATATTTACTTTATTTCGTAAATTAAAAATATCACTGTAATGGCATTTCCTAACTTTCTGTATTTAATATGGATGGAATAAAAATACTGCCATATCTCTGTGTTTCACTTCCAGTCACAAAGTATGTGCAGAAATAATTGTTTGCATAGACTTAATATGTAAGATTTGGAAGAAGAATCCATGAACTCCACAGATTTTTTTTAATGATGAAAAGATTGTTTACGAGTTTGAAGTTTCAGTACTAAGGGAGATCACATTTAAAAGCAATAAATGAATCAACGATATCTAATATTCAAATAACAGAGGGTAGAAAATTTAATGCTACTGTGCAATGAAGAGGAAAATCATATATGCGTTTGCCTCACTGCTTATGACGACTAGGAATTAGGTCACATTTTATGGCACTTAGCAGTAGAATTAGTTTTTCCCCATATGTGTGACTGCTGTTCTGAATGTTGTCTGGCTAGTGTTGCTTTTTTTCAATATATATAATATAACAGCTAAGATTCCATGTCAAAAAACATGTTTAACTATGATGCACACGTTTTCTGTGTTTTACTTTCATCTGTGCATTCAAATATACAGATAAAAACCTTACCACAAAGTTTAGTCTGGAAGACAGAAGTCAGTGTTTCAATCTGACTGAAATTAGCAACCAGAAACACATGCTCTTCATGCGGTTCACTCCCGATGGACTTCAGTGTGTTCATATCTACTCTTCCCACTCCGATGGCAAAAATCAGGATTCCTGAGTTACGTGCTTTAGTGGCAATCTCTGACACTGGATCCTGAGGCCTCCCATCCGTCACAATCATGATAATTCGAGGCACATTCTGCTTCAGAGGTCGAGCTCCCTCTGACTCTGAAAATGCGATGTTGACAGCATATTGAATAGCCAGTCCAGTCATGGTGCCAGTTGCCAGGTGCATCATCCTCCTCACCGCTCGTTCGATATCCTGCTTCCTCCTGAAGGTCTTAAGCGAAAACTCCTGCTTGACTGTGCTGCCATACTGAATCAGACCTACACGGGTGGTATCAGGACTGATGTCCAGAAACTGCAAAATGGTTAAAATGAACTCCTTCACTTTTTCAAAGTCATAAGGACGTACACTGCGAGAGCTGTCAATGATAAAGACAAGGTCCAGACGTTTGTTGTTGCAAGTATTTCCTGGAAGGCAAAAAGCAAACAAAAATTCTTTACAAGAATTTCAAAATGCAAATTGGTTCAGGTTGACCTGATGTCTCAAACATGCTGTCTAAACAAACACCCTGACAAGTACCGGGAAAATACAAGAAAAACAGGAGATGCCAGAACTGAGGCTACTTGGGCATATAAATTCAGCCTCAAGTAAATAACAAAAGCTGCCTGTTACATGATCAGAATATACATGTAATTACTTTTTTATTTTTGGTGAAATCAATGCCCAGAAACACAAATGGCTCTGGAATGAGTAGATACGTGTGCAGCATCCTGTCCTGTCACTGTTGTTGAGATTTTGGCCTCATATCCCATGCAGGATGGAAAGCTCCTGTGAATTGCATAGTTACTATTTGAGCCGGCCGCACCAGGATGCTTTTTGTGGTAGTACCTGAGAATTCAGAAATCTAACACTCTGATTGGACAGGGTAGTATCAGTCCTCCATTGCAAACAGGGAAAACTGAACACAAAGAAATTCAGGTCAAAAGCATCTGTTAATTTCAGTGACCGGTATGAGACGTGAAGAGACAGATTTTTCAGGGAACTTGGCATGAAGCAGCACTTTGCGTGTAAAAAGTGCAGCTTTCAATGATGTCAACTGCAGCTGTGAGTGCTCAGCACTTCTGCAAATCAAACCCCATGATTTCCAATGCATAATTAATGGCCATCTGGGAAAAGTTTCGTGTGTTGGACTAGCTCAGCATTGCACAGAAATCCTGGGACTGCATCAGAGCGAAAATCCTGCTGTCTACAGTGGCACTCAACTTGGCCAAAAGACCACTCATATGCTTCCTGAAATCTTCTACTTCCGCCATCAGCAGCAGTTTGTGGTTTTTTCCTTTTTTTTCCAAAAGCCACTGAAGCAGAAATACCACAGGGTATGTCTGTATCTGACAATTGCACAGGTCGTCAGACCAAACTACCATGGATAAAGCCAGAAGTGAAGGCTGTCTGTCTTCTGGGCATGCTACAAGCTTTCTGGAATTCTGAGTACCTCCTCTGGCTTCTGCTCAGCATCCTTTTATCATAGACTCATAGAATCATAGAAACATAGAATCATAGAATGGCCTAGGTTGGAAGGGACCTTAGAGATCATTTAATGAGACATACACAAGAGCTGCATGATGAGAATGGATAAGGACTGACCATTCACAGAAAGCCAGCACATGGGAGGCTTAAGGCAAGCAAGGGGACATGAGCCACAAGCCTTGTCACAGAAGGTGGCATACTGCAAAAGATTAAAAGGACTTCAGAGGACTTAAAGGGATGCCGGTGAAATCAACTGAGGTTTAACATTTGTATTAAAGATACCTCCAGATTAGGAAATCCCTGAGCCATAAAAGCATGGCAGTTGGGGGAATACCTGCAAGTGGTACCATCTTGTCCTTAAACTTTTTCATACACACGCACTTTTGATGGCTGTCAGAGACAGGATGCAGAGTTAGATAGACTTATGGCTCAAATCAGTGTGTTCGCTCATGTTCTTCAACTCCTGTGGCTATGAACAAAACTGTGAGGTAGCTGGCTGCCCGTTTGTCTGCCTGGCTTGAAAGAGTAAAGGTGGCAAGAATGCTGATGAAACTGCAGTGGTGTCATCTTGCTAAGCTGAGATACCCCTAATCAGTAATGTCCCTTATTCCCCAACCCAATTCAATTCCCAGTGAACTCTCATCCACCTTATGCACCGAATGAGGCAAATGCTCAGTGGAAGAGTAGTATTTGACTGTAAAACTAAAGGTCATGTCATGTTGCATGAGTACAAGTGGGCCAATCAAAGACTCAACTGGAAAAACATCTGTCTGTAGACAAGCCTTCACACGAGTTCAATTGCGACTGCTGATGAATGCAAATCGTGTACTCCTGCCAAGGCAAGGGGTGAGAAAGATGCCTGCTTTCACTTGTTAACTCAGAGGCCTCTTTCACAGATGACCAAGAACATTTGTGGGCGCAGAATAAAAATGCTCTTTGATGACAATAAAAATGACTGCCTGGATTTATTCATGTGTAGTCTACAGTATGGCTTTATTCATAAGGATAGGAATATGCTTGGGTTGCTTATTCTTTCAAAAGCAGAGGATGCTGAATGCAAGCCAAATTGAGCAAAAACAAAATTCCAGTTCTAATGGGATACAGATACTCGGACGTAACTATTTTCTACCTTATTATCTTAGTGACATATCTAATTATTAATTGTCTTTACTAACAAAACATGAAACATTTAATCATGGTTGTAATGCAAAGATAATGCCAAGACACAATTTAGAGGAAAAATAAATACAGAAAAAAGGCTAAGAGTACATGTGTTTACATGAGAGGAAGGACAGAGAGGGAGAAGGGCAAAATGACTGCTCTTTTATTTCCCTTAAAACAAGTCAAAACTAGAGCTACGGTGTTGAATTCTTTTAATTTCAATATAAAGATTTGGATCCCAGTCTGAAGAGACTCAATGATGTATTTTGAAGTCAGGCATGAATCTTGGTGGGAAAAACTTGGACAGCATTAGTGAATCGTACTACCAGAAACACACCCCATTGTGCTAAATTATTTACAAAAAAATCCATCAGCCTGAATGCAATACAGTGTATTTCAAAACCACTTTCACTAGAAGAATTCTATCTATAGAGATACCATACATTCTCAAATTAAAATGTCTTTAAAATCTTCTGATTTGGTGGAAATTTTTAATAGCTTTGCAATTATTAAATTTGACTTAGCTGACATGGGCTCCATTAAAAATAACATGGAGCTTTTACTAAGAAAACTCCAGCCAGGTGTTATTTTGAGGAGTGGCAATCAGTAATGACTAACAGATCTGAACACTTAGCCCCTCAGATAAACTTTCAATGATACCTTTTTAGCAGCTGCATGGTTTTGCACTTGCCCTGTAAACAATAACCTCTTCCTCTAGCCAGCTCTCATCTCAAACAGGGAACTTTCTCACAACTTTGGCAAACATCTTCATCCCCAAAAGTAATTCCCTTTCACTCTTCTTACGAAAAGTGACACACTTGTTGAAAAAAGCTACTCACCCATAAACCTGCTTCTAAGTCAGAAGAGGTTTTGTACTGCCAACACAAAAGTTAAAAAACCCCTCAGTGTACGTTGTGTTATCCAAAGGTAAGGCCAGGAGAGGCAAGAGAAGGACAGACAGGGCAAGAGAAGGAAAGGTCAAGTCAATAATACACATTGTCCTCCCCCACTCAATACCTAGTTTGTCTGTGAATAACAGTTACACTGATGCCACCTTTGCAAAATTAACAATTCAAGGAAATAACAGTTCTACTTGGAAGAAGTCAGCAGGGAGCTGGGATCTCATTACCAAGAGATAAATAAAACAAAGCTTAGAAGAATATTTCACATTGAGCATCTTAATTTTCTCTACAGCTGAAAATTCTATTGAATTATTTTCTCTGATCCCTTCAGGTTTCCTTCTATTACTCTCTCAAAGCAAATTACGCTCAGGCCTGAACCCCAACTTCTGCTTTGACGAAGCTCTCACTGCTTTAACTTTGCTCACCCACACAGGCTCTCTGTCTGAGAGTGTGTTTGTACCCTCTCAGCTTATTTCTACCTAATGCTACGTTGCCTTAATATAATTAAAGCAGCATCAGCGAGTTTTCCTGGGCATCAGAGTGAACTCTTCTAGGCTGTTAAATCATTAGAATAGTTCCTGGTATTGTTTGTCCTAGGACAATGAACATTTTCGCAAACAGTCCTCAGGCATGATATGGGAAGTAGCTTAAGCCAGGGACCCATCGTAATAAGCAATGTGGATGCAACCACTCTGTGAGCTCAGGACATTTAGTCAGGACATTTGGACTCACTCTCTCAGAGAGCAATCTAAGACACAAGCTAAGCTCAGAGGCCAGCTGGCCTTCATCCACATTATTAAACTCACCTTCCTGTGAAAACAGAGTGGCTGTACGCAAGCTGCCTATGGGGAATAATCCCTGTCCCCCCATGGCCTCTGAATCACACATGGGGATTGCCTGGGGAGCGCTCATCACTGTGGGCCAGAGACAGCTCCAGCAATTTAACAGCAACAATAATGGTGGAGTCCCAATGACCAAGAATGTCCCCTGGTGCTATTCAATTTCCTTAAACATTTCCATTTTGGGATATTCAAACTGAACACACTCAAAGGACCCAAGTTTTTGCAAGTCAGCTTGCTTGAAAAGATTGATTCTTCAAAACTAACTTAGTTATTTTCTATTGTTGTCCTACATCTTTATGACTCAATATTTTTCTTTTTTTTAAAAAAAAATCTGGTCATTACTTATTTGGTTATGTAGCTCTTTATCCTAATACAAGAGAATGGATAAATGTTAAGGAAGGCTATTGCCATATGCAAAGCAAAAGGAGGTTAACTCAACTGGTAAATACTATAGCAAAGTTAAGACGTTGAATAAGTATTTTATAACAAGTAAATATTAGTTTCATGAAGATGTTTGCTATAGAGTAAGACATTTTAAGCAAAAAAGAAGGATGAGAGCAGTTAAGAAAAAATGAGATCATAGAAAAATTATTGCTTGAGCCAGCAAGGCATTAATGGCAATTTTAAGACCCAGTATTTTGTGTTTCTTAGCTCACCCACAGTAATGTATATACAAAAAAATTACATGTCCTGTGACTCTGCCAGCAATAACACCAGGTTTATTTTTAGTTATCTTTGAGTAATAGAACAAAAGTCTTCACTCAGAATTAAAGAGGAGAAAACTATTCTCCCAGATAGCACATATAAAACTTCTTCCTAAAATTCTCTTCTTTCTTTGCCATTTTATTATTTCATTTTCCCTCTAGCCCTCAACCTTACTTGTCTCTATTTTCTTTATAACTTCTTTCTTTATCAATCTCAGTGTAACTCCTGCCAAATTTCTTTCAAAAAGTATAACCTTGCTGGGTGTCAAATACTTGTTCTTGAAGTTGAGAATTCTGATTTTCCCTAGCTAAATATGCAGCCAGGAAGATT